GTTTCGTGGAGAATTTCCCTGGGAAATTAGCTTTGATCTTCCTCCAGTTTCTGGGTAAGGCTTCAATCTGCGTTTCCTGGATTTGTGTTCTATCGATTCCGATTGTGATACTACGATCCCAAGAGCTTTTTTCGTTCGAGAATTGTGTGTTCGGAGGATCTAATTTCTAGAACTTTTGTGTGTTTTCGCAGAATTGGCTTCAGCTTGATTCAGCAGCGATTGTTTTGGTTTTCTTCGAATGATGATGCATGACATTCAACGTTTAGGGATTAGTGCGATTTAAGATCATTGTAATTTCGATTTCTCGGCTAGTTTTGTGGTCGTTGTGAGAGAATATTGGATTGGGAAAATTTGATAATCGTCGAAATGGAATTGGGAATGGAGTCTCCGTCAAGAGATTCGATCAAATGTTGTGATTGTGGATGCGATTGTTCTCCAGATTCATGGATTCGTTCTGTGAAGAGAAGACACGAGGAATTGGAGAGTAAGAAACGTTTCTCTGTACCGGAGCTTGACGACTTAGAGCTGTATTCTAATCCTAAAGTCCAAATCGAGAACGAATGTGAATTACTACGCGAAACTGTTACCAACCAACAGCAATCGATTCAGGATTTGTATGACGAGCTCGAGAAAGAGCGGAACGCTTCATCAACAGCTGCAGATGAAGCAATGTCTATGATACTGAGGTTACAGAGCGAGAAGGCCGAATTACAGATGGAACTTAGACAGTATAAGCTTTATGTTGGCGAAAAAATGGAGCATGATCAGCAAGAGCTTCAGGCATTGGAAGATCAGGTTTATCAAAGGGACCAGACAATTCAGGCTCTTACATGTGAAACTCAGGCTTACAAGCATAGAATGATGAGTTACGGGCTCACCGAAGCAGAAGCTGAAGGTGATAAGAGCATGCTTAGTCGTAATCCGAGCATGGTCCCGAGCATACTTAGTCGTAATCCGAGCATGATCGAGATCAATTCCGAATATGACTTCCCTACACATAACTACCCTCCTCTAAAGTGCAATATAAATGAGAACCATGATCCTCTGGAGGCTGATATCTATGTTGCAGACGATGAAAACTACCCACCAGCTGATTCGCCTCATGGGAGAGAGCATTTGAAGAAATTGGATCGAAGAATCAGCCAGATGGAGACGAATCCTAGCTTTCCCCAGTTGAATGGTGATTTCTCAATAGCGAGAGGGAGGGATGTTTCGGAGAAGGTAATGGTTGATCAGAGTCCTAGGCGTCAAAGACACTTTAGGAGGATTTCCACTGCTAGCTCAAGCACACACTTGGGATCTAATAAAGCACTAAGACCTGATATGTTTGTCGATTCCCCGAGGTCCGAAAGCTACGGCTCTAAGAAGGTAGAAAGTGTCTCATACACAGAGAATAATGCTAAAGATGATTCGTCGGAAATAGGAGATGACATGAGTGATAGAGTTTATACCATTGATTCTGTTCATCGGAGTGTATCTCATAGTAGTGTAACCGAGCAGAAGCTTGGGGATGGCACTTCTGGTGGCAATGTGGGTTTCCCGGGAGAACAAATGGATCTTGGGGATCCTGATATTACGAAGCTCTACATGAGGCTTCAAGCACTGGAGGCTGACAGGGAATCAATGAAACAGGCGCTTATCTCTATGAGGACTGAAAAGACTCAAATGGTACTGCTGAAAGAAATTGCTCAACATTTGTCAAAAGAAGTTGTCCCGCAACGGAGATTGCCTCTACGTAAAGCATCCATTGCTGGGCCATCGACTTTCAACCCAGTCTTTAAGGTGATTTTACTCTCATAATCCCAATTCTTGGGTTGTTGTCATGGTTTTTAATTAACACAAAACATAGTGACTGGAAGCAACTTCTTCTATAGCTACTTCTTGTTTCCTACGGTATCTCACTCTGTAACCGCTGGTTCCTTTATCATTTTTCCTATGCAGTGGATCACATCTTTTGTTTCCTGGAGAAGAAAGGCTCGTCGAAGCAAGTAAGTACTCTGTTACAATCTTTGGTTAGTTTCTATACTTCACATATCACATTGCACGAAAAAGATCCTTGTACTGCATAAAAATCTCTGAGAAAAATACTTGGAAAACACTGAACCAAAATTACTGGATACAGTCTCTCTTACACTAGAAGCTCCTCCTCAGATATTCCCAACACAGACGTTTTCGCTTGATTAGTTAGAAATGACTGAATAAGACATGTTGCCATTTGCGGAGCTGCTTTTTGGAATCTTACACTCGTCTCTGTTCCAATTGAAATGTGCAGGTACATGTATGGGATGTCAGCAAACAACATCGGCCTGCAAATGCTTCTAGAAAAGGTCCCCCGATCACGGAAATGGCGATGTCTCAGGAGCACGCAAGTGTGAAACAGACCAAATCCTTTAAAGCAAACAGAATCACTCTGCCGACTCTAGAATTCGAAACAGACCACTGTCAAATAACTGATGACCGGATTGCGAACCGGGTTCTCGTTCTTGGGTTGCAGAGAAATTGTTTGTCCGTATGAGATTTTTTCATTCTGTTTCCCCAAATATTTCAACTGTTTGTATAAAGAATGGGGTTAAAGAATGATTTAATTGAGAAGCTATACAATCTGAATGATTTAACTGAGAGGCTATTCAATCTTTGCATGGTTTCTAACATGAATTGTTTCATTCATGGTTTTTGCAATATTTTCGAGATCGACTCATCATGATGGTATACGTAAATAGCATGTCAATTAGGATCAGAACTCGAAGTCCGGTATGGTCCGAAAAGTCGAGATATAAATAAAGAAAGTGGATTGTCAAAATTTCATTTAACAATGTTGTTATTAACAAATGAAAGTAGCTATATGTTTAGAAGACTCTCAGTTTAACAATGATGTGGATTGCAATGGTAGAAATATCAGAAAGGGCATCATGGTGAGTTGATTCGAATGAGGTGTGATATTCTAAACATTCTAATAAGATCAAAATCTACATTACTTATTGGTGCTCATGTGTTAAGATAAATAATGGAATTATTTTCCTCCAAAACATTGAAAAACATCAAAGTTAAAGTTTATACAAGATGGTTTTAGGAGAAGAAGAAAAAAAAACAAATGCATATTCAGAATGTTCTACTTATACCTTATACAAGTCAAAGTCAGACACATTGATGAATAGAGACATAGCAGACAAGACAATGAGACAAAAGACGTCGTTGTCATTAGACGACCTATAAGTCTACTGTTGGGACACGAGCGTATGAGCACACGCGTTGTTTGATATTAGTCTTTATTGGCCACGATTCGACACCACCCAATTTCTTCTTTTTATGACTTTTGAAATACAAGAGATGATCATAGTTTCATATATTCATAACATGACTCAATGACATACCATAAGTAAAATCGATCGATTTTACGGTTTATTCTACCATGCAGTTGTTTTTGGTTATTTGCGATCGATCGTTGTATGCTCAAATTTTGTTGACCTTAAAGTAAAACAAACATATCTGACCCCAAAAACAAGAAAAGTGAAACAAAACATTACATTCTCCGTGAATTCTAATAGATTTTTCTTTTTGCTGACCAACCGAACTTGAATTGAATAAAATTATTACCTTCCCACCACCCAATCAGAGAAACTAGCTTAATTTCACTGTTTTCTTATGTATAATTTCATTAAAGTTACTATATGTTTTTGAAAAAAAATAGCAATAAAAATTGTTAACAACCCTTTTTTGGTCAGCACATGTCAATAACCCTACAATATAGTTGACCAAAAAAAAAAACCTTAATAAAATAAAATCAATAGAGGGCTTATATAGGTTGTAAATGGTAACATTTGCTATGTACAAAATTTTCGCTAGATTCAGCAATTCAACAAAAAAACATACTATAAGAATTAGTTGAATTCAACTAGATTCAACAATTTTCTCTAATACTGATGTATAAATATGTTTATTTTAAGTAATAGATTGGATAAGAACGAATATTTGAGTTAGACAGTAATATTTAAGAGATCGAAAGTATATCAAAAATATTGTTTTAACAAATAAATCATTAAAATCATATGAATATAATACATATGATTTTGGAGATTTAAAATCATTATCAAACACGTAAAGACTTTATCATATTTGGATATTTCATATATAAACAAATAATTTTGGATAATTTATAGATATTTTGGTTTAAAAAAAATTAATTATTGTAATTGTAGAACTTTTAGATAATTGAGATAGTTTTATTATTTTTAAAACAAAGGTCGTGTTTATGTATTTTAAGTTTATTATTTTTTGTTTGGTTCGATTCGATTTTTTCGTAATTGTTTATACTAATATAATTTAAAGAAAACAAAAGAATATTTTGAACAAAAAATTCAATAATTAGCGTAAATTTTACTAATACAAAATTTTAAATTAATTTACTTTATTTGTAAGATAAATTCATCTTAATTTTGTTAATTGCAAGTTTTCTCGTTAAATTATGTTGTTATTTTATGTTTAATAAAATTATTTAATATAAATGTAAAAGTTAATATTTTGTTAGTTTATTTAACTAATAAAATTATTTAACTAAATTTTATAGGTTTATATAAATATATATTTTTTTAAAATAGTTAGATTCAGCTGTTACTATTGACATTTCAAGATATTCTGCCAAATTCTGCAATCACTAAAAATTCAGTTAGATTCTGTAATTCAGCAAAATTCAATTAGATTTTGTTGTTACCATATAGACCCGCATAAAAATTTGTAACATCTTTAATCTATTACATGCATAATGCATTTTTTTAAAGTAGAAAATTTATGGATCTACTTCCATATATTTTTTTGTCCGTCGAAACATGTATCTCATTTTAAACAAAAATTACATTCAACGTACAATTTTTAGAGGTCGGAAAATTCGACCCTTTTTTAGACCATCATTATCCATGATACAATATGGATATCATTAAATATAAAATTATTAAAAACACACGTGTCATGCGTTTACTATTGAATATTCTTTGTTTAAAAAAACATAAGTTAGTGGAATTCAAAGCAAAGACAATTCGACAATTCGACAAAGTCTGTCCTCGAGTAAACGAAGCCGCCACCTCTTTCCTCCACTTGTTTTTCACAATCTTTCTTCTATTTAATACTAATATTATCTCTTCATCATTACACACACACATATTTTATACGTTCTTTTTCAAAATATGGATCATGAAAAGGAGGAAGAGGAGGAGATCGAGGTACCTAATTACTTTATTTGCCCAATCTCATTAGAGATCATGAAAGATCCTATCATAACTGTTTCCGGCATCACTTACGACCGTGAAAGCATCGTTAAATGGCTCGAGAAGGTCCCTTCTTGTCCCGTTACGAAGCAGCCTCTTCCTTTAGACTCCGACCTCACACCTAACCACATGCTTCGCCGTCTGATCCAACATTGGTGCGTCGAGAACGCGACACGTGGTGTAGTAAGAATCCCTACGCCTAGGGCTCCTCCGGGAAAACCTAACGTCGTCGAAGAGATCAAGAAACTCAAGAAGTTTGGTCTAGAAGGTATTGCATCTGCCTTTTTTCGGATAATTCGGTTCGGTTAGGTTCTCTCAGATTTGTTACATGCATCGAGTTTATTACCAATTTATAATCGAGTTTATTTCGGGACAAAAATTTAGTTTTATCAACAGTCATACCAACTGGATTTGAGAGTTGATAGGTTTAGTTTTAGACCGCAATCACCAAAAACAATAGATTATATCATTCTTTTAGTTAACTTAATACGAATGAATTTATTTTTAGTATAAATTGTAACGTCAATTAAACAAGTTCAGGTGATTCTGTTTGGTTGGACCAAAATTTAAGTTTGGTTCGGTTTATTAATTTTGTTTTGGTTTTTAAATTGTGAAGCCTTACGAAGAGGAGACACGTTGAAGAAGCTTGAAGTTTTGGCTACGGAGGGAGAGGGAAACCGGAGACTGATGTCTGAAGGAGGAGTGCATAGGTCTTTGATCTTGCTCCTCGTCAAGTGTTCTTCTTCT